AAGACACAAAAGTAGTTGTATTAATAAAATTTTGCTATATTGCTCTTTAAAGTTTGCATTTTCTTATGATTTATTATTAGATCTACAGCATAAAAATTGATTTTCCGAAGATCTTTTGTTTTGTCAATTTGGTCCCTTTCTCAGCACCTAGCTCATATATTTAGGTTTTATAAACGAGTTACAGTTGAATTTAAATGATTACTGTATGCTTTTTTTAAAATACTTTTATGACATCTATTTTAATTGTGTACAGATACGGCTCGAGTTCCAAGTTTGACTTCAGACCGAACTTTGATGCAAACTCGACTTTTGGAGTCGAGCCGGACTTTTTACATCCGTTTATTACTTAAAGTGGATTGCAATGTTTCACAACATCTATATTTGTTATATAAGAGTCGTGCTAAAATCTTTAGCTATTTTCAAAAATCAATATGATTACATTACCGAACGAATATTACTATGAAATATTTAATAATTTCTTGTATGATCATAAAAACTTATTTTCATGTGTTCTTGTAAACCGTCAATGGTGTAGATTAGTTATCCCAATATTATGGAGCGATCCAAAACACCATTTTAAAAATAATAGACTTATAAGAATATTCTTTCTAACATTAAATGCTAAAGAACAAGCTCTATTAATTCCTTTTAATATTACCCTTCCAAATCACCCAAAACCACTATTCGAATATACAAGTTATATCACATCAGTTAACAACTATTTGTATGAAGGAATTAGAAAATGGATTAATTATGAAAAATATACAAAATATAATATAGAATGCAAACTTGAAAATGCCATTAATCGTTCTTTGATCACAATGTTTCTACGAACTAGTAAGAATCTCAAACGTTTAAGTCTTAACGAAATTATTTGCGATCAAATAATAATTGAAAGTCTTTCTGAGTGTACTACTGTTACCGCAATGGATTTAGATGATTTCAGTGGTGATATTAAATTTAAGGTAATAAATGCTTTAGTAAAGATCCTTTATAAAAATTCTACCTTGACTTCTTTAGAACATTATAATATTTATATCAATGGTGAAAACGGAATATTAGCAAATGCATTTTGCAAGAACGGCGCGTTGACTTCTTTAAGTCTTGAATATAATCGTATTGGATTGAAAGGAGGAAAAATATTGGCAAATGCACTTTGCAAGAATTCTACGCTAAAATATTTGAATCTTTTTGATAATAATCTTGGATCAGAAGGAGGAAAGGCATTAGCAGATGCACTTTGCAAGAATGCCACGCTAAAAGATTTGAATCTTGGTTATAATAATCTTGGATCAGAAGGAGGAAAGGCATTAGCAGATGCACTTTGCAAGAATGTCACGTTAAAAGATTTGAATCTTACTACAAATTTTCTCGAATCAGAAGGAGGAAAAGCAATAGCAAATGCACTTTACAAGAATACCACGTTAACTTCTTTGAATCTTTGGGATAATAATCTTGGATCAGAAGGTGGAAAAGCATTAGCATACGCAATTTGCAAGAACACCTCTTTGATTTCTTTGAATCTTCAATGTAATGAATTAGGATCAGAAGGAGGAAAGGCAATAGTTGATTCACTTTGCAAGAACGCTACGCTAAAAGATTTGAATCTTAGTTTTAATAATCTCGGTCCAGAAGGAGGAAAATCATTGGCGGATGCACTTAGCAAGAACACCGCGTTAAATTCTTTGAATTTTCGTAATAATTCAATTGGTTCTGAGAATGGTAAAGCATTAGCAAATGCACTTTGCAAGAATACCACACTGAATTATTTAGATTTTCAATCCAATAATCTTGAATCAGAAGTAGTGAAAGTTTTAACAGAATCTCTTTGCAAGAACACCACCCTGACTTCATTGCATCTTTGATATAATAACTTTTAGTAGAAGAAAAAGCATTGGCAGCTATGGTTTGCTAGAATACCACCCTAGCTTCGTTATGTCTTGGAAGTAATAAATTTAGATCAGAATATCAGATGCACTTTGCAAAAAAAAAAAACACGATAGCCTACTTAAGGTCGATGAGAGATGGCGGTTTGCGTTTAGGTGAATGGAGCGTGACCAGTGTTTAAAATTGGATTTTAAAATTATATGCGTAATACATTTAATACTTAATCAAAAGTTGCGGATTTAGCATATAATTTGCGGATTACATTTTTAATTACAGCTGTTTTCATTATTCCTGGGACACCTATAAAAAATTAGCCAAAAATATTTTCGGCCGGTAATTTTTTCGGCATGAACGGTATATTTTTGAATTCGTTCAATTTTAATTTACTGTAATACTGATATAATATCTACGTCATAAATTAATATAATATCTACGTCTAAATTACATTTTTGGTCCAATTTCAAAAATTACCATAATAAATATAATACCTCTTCTACGTACAAATAATTTTATTAGGGGGTTTCAGAATTAACTTTTTTCAAAATAAGTGAGAGTTTAAAAGGACCTATTTTCTTTTTTAAAATTCCGAATCAGAAAGTTAAATAGGCATAGCCGGTTATAAAATTGGCTTTTTTTTGATAAACATTCATCGGTAAACGATTATGTAAATAAGTACATACTTTAAAAAAAATAGAATTTGTACGTTGCTTATTTTGAAATAAATACGTCACTTATTTTATCTGAAATCGGACGCCGAATCATTAATTCTAAAACCCCCTATTATTATAATGTCAACATTATTAAATTTTCGTTTGAACGCTTGCCCAATATGTTTGATGTGTTTAACTTGTGCGAAAGTTTATGGAAAAGATTGTTCTTGTCAACCAATAAAACTTGTCAAGAAATATAAAAAAGGCCCCGGATATCAAATTAGCTTTTATAGTAAATATAACACATGAATAGGTGCTAATATTAAAAAAGTTAAATATGATCAAGAATTCGTCGATTGGACTAAAAATTTAACTAAAGTCAAAATTCCAAAAGATCAAGACTTAATTAATATTTTTCGAAAATATAGTAAAAATTATGATCAACACAATTAAAGTGAAACAATAAATCTAACAATTAAAGAATCTTCATCGTCCATGACAAATACTTTTGAGTTACCTGACTTGTCTGAAGTGAATGCAACTGATTCAGAAATTAATTGTGAAAAAGATCCTGAATTGGATATTATTAACATGAAAAAGCCTGAATCAGGAGCTATTATACGAAAGAGCCTTTTATAAAATTGCTAAAACTTTATAAAATAAAATTATATATAAATATATGAAATATTACCTTTTTGTATGTATATTCAAATTGGTCCAAATTGTTGTAAGTCTAATGTTACATCCCAACCAAAGTTTTTCTTTCATTAAAACTTGAAGATAATTTATATCATTTATATTTAAAGTACGTAGTTTTCCTGAAAGTGATGGAAGTTTTTCAATACAACTATATTTTTGAAAATATACAAGAACCCGACTTATAGAAAATCTGCTAACACCTAAGTGTTTTGCAATTTTTTAAATTGAAAAGCCTTCTAAATTTTTTTCAATAATTTGCCAGCGAATATGGTTTAAAATATCATATTTTTTGAATTTAACAAGAGATGTGTATAATTTTTTTATTTATATTAGCCACCTGATTTTAAATTACGTATATTACAGTATTATATCAATTTTTATATGCCAAAAAAATTACTGGCCGAAAATTTTTTTCGACCAATTTTTTATAGGTGTCCCAGGAATAATGGTTTCTCATATTACACTGGTAATTGGCTAAAGCTTACATGATTGCAGTCTTCTTTTTACATATAGTTCAAATTTAACCTGTTATTTAATCTAACATCTAGTCTATATATTAAAAATTTTGTCTACCTGTGGAGCAGTTCATATTTGATAATAGTCTAACTTATACATCATATTAAAATACATAATAACAGAGACAAACCAATAAATCACTATAATAATTCATTTAATTTGCTCACTAAAAGCCTAGCACAAATAAAAAGAAAAAAGGATCAATTAAAAAAAAATCAATAATACTGCATTAGTGCTTTCAATTTTTCATTGCTAAGTAATTGTAAAATTTCATATTTAATCTTTACAACTATTCTTATACAGATATTGGATGCTAGCCCTAAAGAGCTATTAGAATGGTTTTATAATCATTCTAGCATTAACTAAGAAGCTATTAGAATAGTTATTTAATTTCGTATTATGCTTGATAGTTCGCATAACAGCCATCTTTATTTACCACTGCTAGTCTACTTTTTACTTCTCATATATTATGCAAAGGAAATTTAAGATATTAATCTCTATCCTGTGGAAAATCTGCAAAATAACCATCACTACAATATATTTTATATTATAAAAAATGGTTATCTGTCATTTAATGACGCGTCTAATATCTAATACACCACCTTTTTACTCATTGGCTAATCAATTATTTGTATATTGATAAGTAATTTTATAGTTATATGTGTTCCCCATACCAAATCTTAATTGAGGCTTAGATTAGTGTCAATCTTCCTACTTTGTAGTAAATGGAAACTTGTGTTCAAGAAAAATGTTGTTAGTATAGTTTCAAAGAAAATGTAGTTTTAATAAAGATATAATGAAGTGTAGTTCTCAATTGTTCTCATCTAGTTTTCTTATATTATTCAAACATGTATATAAGGGATGCTCATCATTGGTTAAAATCAATATATATTCTCTGAACCCTACCTTCAATTAAAGGTCAAATACTTTTTTGCACTATTTATCATAAGTGCCTGAATTTCCCGATCCACTAAATTCAAATAAATAAGAACTTGACTTTTGAATAACCTGCCCTGAAATTGTAGTTAGAGCTAAACTGTGCATAATGCTCTCTTAAATAATCGTAATAGCAGGTATTTATGATCTTGATTTGTGAACTTGTTGCTGGATAAATCAATATCAACAACAAATTAAATGACTTCTATGTAATGGTAGATAAGTATTTATGAATTTAAATCATGAACTTGTCACTAGCTAATTAATGCGAATAAAATGATTAAATATAGTGGCATGTAGATATTATGATTTTGACTTATAAATATATAGTTAGCTCTAGTCTCAGATAACCTTTATATTGTAATAACTTTGATCGCTAGACATATATACTTCTATCGCATGAAGTTGACCAATCATAGCATCCTACCAATATTGATACAATCTACCCTAAACCGGTATGCATAGAGGACAGGTTTTGTACCGATTTTAAAAGATTATTAGATTTAAGAAATATCATATAGTTAGCTATTAATAATGGACCTTAAATTGCAAAATTTTTATATTTAAATGAATTTATTTAAACCCAGATTGGATCTATCTGAACCCAAAATAGGTTCAAAATGAACCTGGATTGGGTTAGAATAAACCAAAATTAGGTTTATTTAAATCCTGGTTGGGTTCAAATAAACCTGAGGTGGCTCATTTGAATCTGAATGATCTCATTTGAACTCGAAGTGAGTTCAAATGAACCAGAATGAGCTCATTTAAGCCCTCATTCCGCAGTATATGTTATGATTATAATCCAACACCATTTTTTATTAATGTTGGATTATAATCATAACATGTATTAGCAGAATGATTTGGTATTGTAAAATAATTTTTTATATGCTGCACACCTAGTTAAGGATCAGTTGTATAACATCGATGGTTTCTCTTGTTCCCGGAATAGGCGTATGTCTTTTTAAAAAATCAAGAATTAGAATATTAGAACTATTAGATATTATAAATGACAAATTATCAGAAATTGATTATGGAACAAGCTTGGTGGATCAATTTTTTACCGAATATGACAGGTCATCGGTTTTAACAGGATCGAGTTTGACATGTGGACTGTCAATTTTAATTAACTGGTTACTAATCTGACTTTATTAACCCAGCCGGGTTATGAGAACCAAAAAATTAACTTGGCCTGGCCTTATAAAGCATAACTCTCTATGTTACAATCCCAAGGCATTCAAAAAAAAAAAAATTGGATTTGTCAAAAAACAACAGCATAATTACATGTGGGAAAAAAAATTAAAATAATAACAACAGTTTTCGTATTGCTATAATAAAGCTATCTCGTAAAATCTTAACTTGTGAGAGTATAAAAATCTTCATTTTTCTAAATTCTTGTTGGGATACTGTTACATATCATTATATTTTAATTACAGTAGAATTTTTATGAGGCCACATATAATTAAATTCTTTACGACCATACTATTTTTATATGTAATATATATTATAAGTATAGTATACAAGTTTTATATATTTAAATGCGATTTTTGTAGCATACTCCACTACTTTACTAAACCATACTCTACTACTATTGGTAATACCGTATTTTTAGAGGTTGACATATTTATTTAATAATCCGTTTAAAATACAAACTGATACTATATATTGTAGATTTTACCACACAATGATAAACTATATATTTATTCAAAAAAAAAAATTATGAAACAAAAAAAAAAACAAAAAAAAATCCTTATAATTCTATTGACTATTATTAATATCTTCCTCATTGATATCTTCTTTATTGATATCATCACCTTCATTATCACCATCATCACTTAGAGCACCCCGGATTATACCAATTGTTGATGACTCACCAGTTTCAAGCTCGCTATTCCTACTATATATTATGGATCTATCATAATCAGTTACTCGCCTTCTTTTCATACTTGTTTCAGATATCTTTTCATTTTCAGATTCAGAAATAACATATGCCCATCTTGGAATATCTTTAAGACAACTAACAAGATAAAGAAATCTTGAATCATCATAATTTCGGGTTCGGCTTTGGCCTGATCCCAATCCTAATCTAGAATGTTTATCAAGTGTATAACGCAGGAGTTTTTTAAGCTACAAATAAAAGTTAAAATAGCAAGATTAAAATATAATAAGGTATCAAACTCAGATTTCGATTAATATAATAATACCAAAGTTTTGAATATATAAACACCTCTAATGAACGTCATGCATAGTTATAAACAATGATTTTTTGTTTTTTCTCCTGACTATCTTTATCAGTTTCACTTACTTCAGGAGAATGAACTTCGGTATTTAGAAGGAGATTAAGGACCTCATTCTTATTGTAACCACGAACTCGCTTATCATTTCGAGCAAAAAGTGATTTGGCACTCTTTGATCGCCGAATTTTTTTTTAAAAATAAAGCTATATGAAAACTATAAAAAGCATATACTCTCATTGTAATATTATTAGACTAAATATATTGAACCTTTTGTTATCACTATAATGAGAGTGATCTGTATATAAAATTATATATTAAAATATTACCTCAGTTACTCTATTATTAATATGTAATCGACGATTATCCTTATCTAATTTGCCTGATTGTTTCTTTAAAAAATGATCTCTCTGATACCGATGCAAAATTTTTAACCATTTTTGTAACTGGCTCTGCAGAGGAGTAAATTTGGGTGCCATCAACTTTACCAATTCAGGAATCAACTTAGTTTAGGACTTTTTGGTTATTTTTACTTGTAAAAACCTGATCAACTTTAAGCTTATACATTTTTGGTACATTTTTATAAATTAACTTTAATTCATCCTAAATAAAATAAAAAATAAAAAAATAAAAAAGTAATTCAAAAAATTTTGTAAAAAAAATCTTAAAATTATATATACTCTTGCTTTTTTGGAATCAGAGTTATCATCATCAGATATTATCTTTTTTTGCTTAGTCTTTTTATTATTAGCCTGCTTTAATTGGATAGTTTTCTCATTTCTTTCTTTATCACTTTCTTCATCTTTATCTACATCGAAATAATATGCTTCTTTATTTTCATTTGAAATATTAAAATCTTCTACAGGCAGTTTAAGCAGCTTATCTGCTCTACTTTTTCTTTTTTCTTGATTTGCTATTTTCAGTTTCATTTCTAACTCCTTAATTTAATTCCGAAATGCTATTGATTCCTTATTAAACAATTCATTAATTTGCATTAACACACTCATTTCTTCATCTAAGTTTTTGTTCTCATTTTTTAAATCATTAACTTTTTTGCAAAGTTGTCAAATTTCTAAAAATTAAACAGATTAGTAATAGTATGTATAATTAAACTAAAAAAAAGTTTAAATTAAGTGGTGTGCATTTTACCAAAAATCACTTTACTGATAACTTAGTTCACTAACAATTAATTCACAGACAAGTTTATTTTACAGACAATTATTTCACTGACAACATTTCTCTAACAAAGTAATTCTAGTCATTGTTGTTGAAATTAGAGTTAAGGTTAGTATAATTTATAAAATATACTTGTTGATGAAATTAGCTGTCAGTGAAATAATTGTCAGTGAAATGAACTTGTCTGTAAATTAATTATCAGTAAACTAAGCTGTCTGTAAAGTAATTGTCAGTTAAATAATATGTATCTGTTTAAATTACCTTCTTTAATTCGATCAAAATCTTCTGATTTTATAGTTTTAGAAGATTCTAATGGCATTTGACTCAGCCTTTTAGATAAATGAATATTTGGATGTCTTCTAACTAATCCACTAAGTAAGCTATTAGTATCAACATTACTTTCTTGTGTCGAAGGGGTCACATCTTTCTGAACTTTGGATGGCTCACTTAATCCAATAGATACTAAAGGCTGAGGCAATAAAGATGATTGATGCTCTTGTGAATTATTATAGGCTAATGATTCTAATTCTGGTTTGTTTGTACATTATAGCAATCTGGCAAAACGTTTGGTAGGTTGTTTTAATTGTTTAAACATTCTTAAAGAAAAAGATTTAGAGAAAAGTAAAAGTTAGAAAAGTAGAAAAGAATTTTTGTTTAAAGATGCTTAAAAAAAAAGGTTGATAGAGATAAAAATATTAGCAATGTTTAGTGGTATTTATTGCTTCAAACATACTATTAATATAAAGAGTTGAAAGTAATCAGATTTCAATATCTTGATCCAAATAAAGGAATTGTTTATAGCAAATGGTATACTTGAATATCCAAATAGTATATTTGAATATCCAAATAGTATATCCGAATATCCAAATAGTATACTTGAATATTCAAATAGTATATTTGAATATCCAAATAGTATATTCGAATATCCAAATAGTAGTATATCACATATACAAAAGAATATGAAGTATTGTCTCAATTCAAATAAGGAAATTGTTTATAGCAAATAGTATACTTGAATATCCAAATAATATCATAATAGTTGAGATGTATATTCATATACTATACAAAAGAATACGAAGTGTTGCCTCAATTCAATTCAAATAAGGGAATTGTTTATGGCAAATAGTATACTTGAATATCCAAATAGTATGAGATGTATATTCACATATACAAAACAATATAAAGGATTAAAAGTAAGATCAGATTCCAATATCTTGATAAGTGTTATTCTTTACTTTTGCTATCAATTTATAATTAGTTTAAGAGTGTTCTCAAGCATCTTAGAGTACTCTCAAGCACCTCAATCAATAGATCAGTGTATAAATTTTAATTAATAAAAATTAGCTCAGCCGGCCTTAGTGAAAGTTCACTTAACCAACCAAGAGTATTTATCATTCCAATCAACAAGAGATAGAGGCCCAGACATCCTTTTTATCATAGAATTGCATTTATTGGTCAAAGTTTTTTATTGATTGATTAGAAAAAATAATTGTTCAAGTACTTTGCTCTTTTTATATTATTATCATTTATTTTTTTACCAATATATTCTTTTTTAAGATAGATTATAAAAAGAAATATATTTTTTTTATTTAAATAATTTTTTTATAAACCATATAATATTTAAAAAAAAAATAAAAAATATATACAAATAAAAGAAAAATAAAAATATATATACAAATAAATAAATAAATAAATATATATATACAAATAAAAAAAAAATAAATTTCAACTACACCCTAAATCTGTGCTTCTGCAAAGGATATAAGACAAGCCTGAGTCTCTGCAAAAGATGTAAAGAGGTCTAAAAACATACTCAGTTCTTCTTTATGAACTTTATATGCTTCTAATAAAAGCAATGAGTAATCATTAGCTGATAATTTGTTTAATGTATTAGTGGTAGTATAAGGAGATTATGTACTCCTCGGGCCTTATATAGTTTATAGACCCTCTTAGCAGATTTCCATATATATTTAAATGCTTCTTCAGAAAATTTTTTCTTTTATAAAGCACCGAGAATTTCTACTCCACTTTCTCTCTTCTAAATGCTTATCTAAAAATAATAATATTTAAAAAGGAAGATTTGATTAAAGTGATCTTATCTCAAATATACATACCTCTAACTTCTAAATACTCACCTAAGAAATAATAATATTCAAGAAGAGAGATTTGGTCAAGATAAGATTTCCGGATCTTATCTCGAATATACACAACTCTATCTTCTCATTTATCACCCACTATTTCTTTTAATAGATAGTCAGAAATATTTTTTATTCTGATATCCTCTAGAAGTAAAGGTAGCCGAGCTTTTTTCATAGGAATTGTGGTGATATCTTTACCAAAAAAGATATCTACATTTTGACCTTCTTTATTATAACATTTAATGGTTGTAGGAGTTATTCGAATTTCAGAAACTTGTGTATTGTCAAAATGTTTTCGTAGTTTAGAAACAGTGTTTAAAAAGGTAGTATTAATCAGAAATGAATTCATCATTGTTGTTGAACCTAACTCAAGACAAATTCTTACCGTATTTATAACTGTTAAAAGAAGTTATCACAGAGAGTAACATATAGTGCTTTGAAAAGTTAATTTAATAACCCAAAACTGATTGTTATAATAAATTTATTATAACCAAGTTAATTTTGGGTTATTCAGTCAACTATTTGAAGCACTAGCTATATCTATGACATGTATATAAAAATAAACAATAAGCAAGAAAGAACAATAGTAAGTTAGAAAACAAACAAATATTAAAAAAAAATCAAGAAACCAAATCTATAGAAACTTGTTAAAAGGATGTATGTATCACTGACGCATACATCCTTTTAACAAGTTTCCATGGATTTGGTTTCTTGATTTTTTTC